CTGAAAATAAACATTTTTTAACTTTGACTACTCATTATGGGGAATTAACTGGCAAAGCCAAAGTAGAAGATAGATATACATCTATGTTCATTTGAACACACCACTCCAGTGTGAAACTTCACTATTGTGTTATGCTGTTGTGTGTCTTTCTTTTTATGATAATGGTAGTAATAAAAACAACATTTAGGGTGATGTCTGATTCAGGACACAACACAGTATTTTTATTTTAGAGAATGACAAATCAGAGTGAATCAGATTTGGGGCATGAAGGCCTTCACTAGGGTTATCCAAGAACTGTAATTTGTTGCACTTATGGTAAAGTTGTTCTATATTTATACAAACACTGCTTCAGGAGTTTTGCCTTCCTCTGAGTGTGAAAACCCACAAAGGTTGAACATCCAGCTTTTGCTGCCATCTAGTGACTGAAGTTTGCACCTCGCCGCCTTCCCTGGCCTCACACCACCGCAATGTAGTAAAAAGTGACATGCAAAGATAAAAGGTGGAGTTACAATACAAGTAAACAGTGGCTGCATTAGTCAAAGGGTCAAATAAATACCAAGATGCTTTAAGTTGGTTCACACCTGAGTTTTGAGGCACCAACGGTACTTAGAATCACTTGCTATGACCACAGCACAAGTTAGTATGCTTTTAGCTCTGGCAATGTCTCAAGTGCTAAAAATGACACAGTGTGTTTGGCTTACAGCATCTGAGATAACACTAATTGCAAGCATGAGAAATTTCAGGCATACAAGGAGTTCAACCTGGGACTTTCATCATTGTATAGGTTGCACCTATACAACCCCTGAATATAGTTAGCATCACATCCACTAGACACATGCATCACAGCCTTGGTCATGTCACCAGACAAATGCATACTTGAGTTAACTTAGCATAGCTGCACTGATACAGATCATCCCTTTATAGGTCACTGCTCCTGAATCCATCAACACATACGTATCACCAAATCTGTATGTATGGTACTGTGTGGTCAGGTCCCACATTGTACCAGCAGAGGGAACAGTACACCAGTAATGTGTGGGTAGAACAACAAAACAGCCTGTCTCTTGGTAACTCTCTGACTTCTCTTACATAACCTCTCATTGCAACATTCAGATTCATCAGGACATGGAAACTGTCAGTGGTAGAAGTACACAGATCCCTCACTTAAGAACAATAGTAATACAATAGTGTAAAAATACTCTGTCACAGGTAAAGGTCCTGCATTCAAAATATAGTAAACGTACAAAAGTATTAGCATCAAAACATATTAAGTACTAAAGGTTTTTATTATGCAGAATGGTACACTTAACTTTAATGTATATCATATTATTAGATTACAATCACTTGATGCATTATTGTGTTCATCACATTTAAAATGGTGCAGCTGCAGAGTTAGTTTTAAACAATTATATGCTTCTAATGTGAATTACTGCTGGGTAACTTGTGAATTTTACACTGGAGATCAATAAAGTTTTTTGTATTAACCTGGTTTTGAAAATGTAACTAGTAACTATAATTACAAAATAGATGCAGTGGAGTAAAAAGAACAATATTTGCCTCTAAAATGTACTGAAGTAGCAGGAGATGAAAATACTCAAGTAAAGTACTGACCTTAAAATTGCACATACAGTAAATGCAGTACTAGGGTACTTAGTTATTTTCCACCACTGCACATGTCAGCTATGTCATTTCAAGCATTCTTTCTACTGCAACTTCTAGGAAATAGTCAATATATTGTTCAATATTATGTTGCTTAACTTCTGTGTGGACTGTAATTACAGTCAGGTACATACAGGCTAACTTGACAGGTATTTTTTGTCTGTATTAAGCATTTTAAATAAACAGAAGAACTAGTTTACAATGTTCAGAAATTTACATGAAATGTAAAATAAATGTCACTTGACAGGATGGTCCCATGCACGTGTCACTAAAAGACTTTGCGGTGCACAAGACTTTTATTTTGTTGAGACTGAAGCTGGATTACCTCACAAGCACGCAACTGCCTTGGGGCAGTAGGTCAAGATCAAAGTGTTTATTCGTCATATGTACAGTTAGGAAACTGAAAAAACTTAGAAAAAATCAACTGGACTAGATTTCTAGGTCGAAGACGTTTCACTTCTCATCCAAGAGGCTTCATCAGTTCTGACTGATTCAATTCATTAATTAATTGAAAAGATAAACCTTCACATTGTTGTCACCCTACAATTTAGCAGTAAACCAGGCAGATAATAGCTGCATGGGATGCACCTCCTCCCATGTGTAGGCCTATGAATCATTTTTCATACTATATGCATATCACATCATCTACAGTAGATGTGTGAAGAAAGCATGTTTGTAAGAGGAAGCACCTCTTACAGATTTCCACCTGCTTCATGTTGCTTCCTCTAGCAACTGCGAACTCAAGTGCTGCTGCCATGCTTGAATCAGGAGCATGTGGCAGAGTCCGTCAGGTATCATCTGGGCGCCATGTAGACCTCTGATCTACACAGGTCAGTCACTGTAGATCTTCATAAGTAAACAGGGCGAGTTCAAATTGCACCATCACTGATATTAAAGATAAGCCAGGGTGTCTTTAAGGACAGCAGATATAAAACTGATTTGTGTTTTACTGAACATCCTAAATGTACTGGTTAGTTAATACTAATAAATAGGCCTATTAGAAAAGTGCTTTTCTTTTTTAAACCAACCTTGCTCTTATATACTGTAGTCTACAGACTTTGCCAAGTGTGAGCATATGTGGATACAAAGAGGAGGTGAAACGATGGGCTACTTGTAGCTTGTGTATAAGGAAATAATATTCAAGTACAAATATGCCTATAATACAGTACAACTATGAATGTGATTAAGACAATCTGGTATGACTTGTGCACCACAGTTTGAGAAAGGTGCAATGTGTGTTTGCACTTGTAAATGCCTGTGTGTACATAGCAGGCGTGTGTTAGGTAATTTTTTAGTCAGATAGATATTGGTTAGATACTTGTTGAATTAGGAATGTTTAGTGGAGCCAGGATGTCTAGCTCAGGCTGTTAAATGCTTAGTCATTCTCATGAGTTTATTGCAGGGTGCATTATGGCCAAGGACAACTAGATAGAAAAAGTTTGCAGGCAGGAGGTTATTGTTATTATGATATGTGTAACCGTAATTGTAATCATAATATTTTCTTATGTGTAATGTCATGTCAGAATGTTCTTAGATACACACCACGAAATAAACAGTCACACACTTTGAGTTTCTTCATGTTTTGACTATTGTTATGGTCCGCTGCAAAGCTGGCATATCAGGTGACGTCACGGTTTGACGTCCCTGTGTAGTATGGGGCTAGCCCAACCGAAGTGATAATAGTGTATAGGCATTGTGGTTCAGGGTGTTCATACTTCATGCTGCCTGCGCGCAGGTTTGGAGGTGGAAGAGATCTGGACGTGTGATGTTAATTTTACCTGTGATTCTTTGAATAAACCAGCACGGTTATTTTTTATATATCCAAGTGGTCTACTTTGTCTCTGTGAGTTCCTGGTTAACAAGAGCCGGAAGAAGCTTACAACAAAAATAGCTTTTACATGGTAATCTGAGAAAATAAACCCTACGACTGTGGTTCAGTGGGTAGAGCAGTCATCTCCCAACTGGAACGTTTGAAGTTCGAATCAACGTACCTGCAGTCCACATGTCGAAGTACCTGGGGCAAGACACTGAACCCCCAAGTAGCCCCCGATGGTTAGAGCCATCAGTGTGAGTTGGCACCGCAGATGGCTGCCTCAGTTCTGTACCAGAAACAAATTCCTTGTGTGTAACATACTTGGCCAAAATAAGGTGATTATCCTTATTACATGCAAATTCAGAGTTTGTAGCTCTGTTCTTTGAATAATAAGCTATACACCTAGAGACCAGCCCCCAAAACCCTATTAGAGCTGTAAAGACATTTATTTATTGCCCATTTGAGCCCATTCTAATTACTAAAGTAAATGATAATGTGAAGTGGCAGTAACCTAATGTTGTGGATATATTTAATGTACAGTTAAGTTAATGTCATTGTTATGTGACATTGATATGTATAACAGGCAAATATATTATTTTACTGTTGTTGTTATATTTGTTGAGATCATTTTATATCACAATAAATAAAATTAGTTATTTCCTCCCCTGCCCCCCCCCCCCACACACACACACACACACACAAAGGGGCGGGGCACATTGATGTGCAAGTGCGGAAGTGCGTCGCTGCATGATGGAGAATAAGCTGCTCTTTATCCACGTGTATAACAGTCTGATGTAATAATGTTATAACGTTATATAGCTGCTAATAGCTGCTACTTTGTTTCTCGTTTTGGAAATATCAAGGGTTTGGTTTTACGATGGGAACATTATGAAAAGGTAGTGACAAGACCAGTTTCCCAAGGTGAGTCTCCTTCGTACATCGTGGAGCTGGCATACATGTTAAAAGATGTCATGGCTGTTTTATACAGACACTATTCACAGCGGAGTGTTATTTTCATCAGCTTTTAAGAAAACTGCTGTTTACTTCTCTGTCTGCTGTGCCATAAAACAAGAATGCCCTTCAGTTTTCCGAGGCTGTCTCCATTGGCGTTGCCCTAAACGTGGTTATCCGTAAACATATTTAAACAACAGTGCTTCTTCAGTTCTTACTAGAATAAACATGTCATTACTAGTTTAATAGTACTTGTTAGTGCTTTATCTGCTTCGGTTTAACAGGTGTTTGTTGTCTAAGAGAGATGGCTGGTTATGTCCACATGACCCATAGCGTCCTAAATAAAGGTCATACATTACCGATTTTCACTTTATAATTTTATATGATTCGACCGTTTATCATTTTGTTGTTATATCTTTCTACAGTATTTCTGTTTTTCTGGTGTTACTATAGCTCCATTGTCCTCACTGCCCACACACACACACACACACACACACAGTGTATGAGAACACATGGTGCTTGGTTCAGGATTACTGTAAAGAGTAAGAGTAATCTCCTATGACTCAGTCAGTAACTGGAACTTTTTTTTTTAAGGGCTAGAAGTTTCCAAACTGGAGAACACAGGTTCTGATGTGGTCCCATCGATGTGTACAGCCAGTTATATTTAATGTTTTAACTAGATTCTCACACCTTTGCCAACCCCTTACTCCAATCTGAAGAATTTCTAGAGGATTACTGTTGCTTGAACTCACCTGTGTGTGTGTCTGCACATGTACACTGTTCATCAGTGGAAACACCCAGTAAAGAAAAAGCTTCTTAAGGCGCATTGATTTCTGTCAGTGGGAATTAATAACTGCGTGACTGACAAATCCAAATTAAAGTGGTCTGAGGAGGGTTTAACTTGATAGTTGGATATGTGCAGACAAAAGAGGGCTAAATGTAAAGAGACACCAAGTGTTTTGGTCTTGCTGTGACTGGAGCAAATCTTTTTGCACATGATCACATTGCCTGCCAAAATGCCTACCTTGGAGTCCTCAGGCTAAACAAAGGGCAGGTACCATCGTACCTACTGAACACGGTGATGAAACTGTCAGTTTGAACCCTGCATTGACTGTGCCCACAGTGACATTTATCTGTGTAAATACTGAAGAGCTGCTGGATTTGCAGTGAACCAACATGGACTGAGGTAGAAAATATCTTGTGTCTAGGACTTAAACATTTGAAATGGACTATGTATGTATATTCAGTGATTCAGATTTTTTTTTTAATTACCTGGTCCAGTGACAGCCTGCCAATTTGTTTAATGAAAACAATTCATTGATAAAAGATAGTAATACAGTACATCTGGTCTTTTGAACACAGATTCATTAACAAACTACTCAAATACAATTCAGTACTGTTTTATAAGAATGAACAGTGACGGTCATAAATATATTAAGTGCCTATTTCAGGCTAATATATGAGATTAAATCAGCTGACATTCCTGTTGACCCAGGGGACCTGTGGGAGACTCGTGTGACTCTGTGCTGTCTGACCTTAAGTGACTCCTGGATGTGTTTCCCATGTACTGCATGTTTTTGTGTCCTCAGTACAAAGGCACAGCAAAGCGACTCCCTGCCAGTTGTGTGACTGGTGTCTCTCAGAACCCGGTTAGCATACATATGAGCTGTTTCTGTATATAGGACACTGTGATAAGAGTTCTCCTGGCTTACAGCATGCTGCTTTCCTGTCTTTTGATTCAGAGGAACAAGGTTATGTTAGTAGAGCTTTGAAGCAGCAGGCAGATCCAACCTCACCCCCCACCCCCCGGTCCTGTTTGTCATTTGATGATATAAAACACAAACACGTTTTTACAACCTGTATGGCCACATTGTTTTAGGCTCGTTCGTGATTTATTCCCACACAATAACTAGTTCTGCTCAGCTGTCTAAAACCTACACTCCAGTGAGACTGTAATGACTTTGATCAAGCTGATTTACTGGTTGCCATCCTGCTTTAGTGAGATGCAAACAGTGTTACCAAGTCTCACCAGTGAGAAAGTGGGCTTTTATTTTACCTTAGCTATCATAGCTGATAACATGGTGTACAAAACATGTGATCCATGGGGAGTGAAGCATGTTCATGTGTGATTTAGAACCTGTGGCGTCACTGCCCTTTGAGAATGACACGGCTGTCAGTGTCTGGTTACCTCCGTCTGTATTGTTTGTCAGCAGAGGAAGATGTCGATTATGAAGTAGACCCCTGACAAATGGAAACCGTTATGCCTAAAATGGGGAAGTCTGTGGGGAAAATAACGACTCAGCTGGATTTTATAGGAAGTAGTGCAGACTCCAAAGTAGAATAAATGTCAGTCTGGCTCTATTATGTGTCTAGGTTGGTTCTCCAACAAATAGGAGGAGAAGGAGAGCTGCCATAACACATTCTACCAGCAGAATCTGTTGGTGAACGAGTGGATTTGTTTTCCTTTTCAGAGTCATGTGTGAGAGTGTACTCTCAGATACTTGACTAATATCTAATTAGCCCAGAGAGATTCATTTTATTTCCAGCCTTAGGGTGCTGTTCCAGTGCCACAGCCTCAATGGAAAATCACTTTAACTGCACTTAGTCAGGTCGTTTGATTGGCTGCTTCTGCCTCTCCCACACACATTAAGCTAACTACAGTTTGGTTCGCCCTAATACTCACAGGTTTACATAGAGTAGGAATCCCATAATGTGCTTATTAAATTCAGTGTTCAAGATTCAGCAGTATCGGCATTTTACAGAAACTTGTTTACAATTTTAAAAATGATTTCTCAGTTGATAAGATAGCGGATCAGACAAACAAACCTAGGGTCCAAACATAGTTTAAGCTATACCTCCAGTGACCCTGACCCATTCCACACAAGGATGAGTGACCTGTAGGCACAGAACTGAGAACATGTATCATTATATCACAGAAATAGCACTTGATTTAGAGCATGAAGTAGTCAGCATACTTGTGTATCCAGTGTGTCTCTCTTTTCAGTAGCTGTCTAGTAATGTCTACTCCCCTTGGATTAGGTTAGACTCCACTTAACCGTTCTGTTCTTCTTTTACTTTTGCAGCTTCACCAGAACTACGTATTTTAGGATGAAGGGACGGACAGACACTCCTCAGGACAGGTGAACTGAAACAAGAAACTCTCACTTCTCACTGTTAGCTCTCGACCACAGTTTCTCTGAAATGTTTTGCTTTCGGCCACCGTTTTGTTTTGTTTTTTAACTTTTCTTTTGCTGATGGAATGATGTAGCCACTTCAAGGCTTTGCATTTCTTTAAAAATGATATGGGTAACAGTTTGACTGCGGTTTCCTTTAACTTGCATCAACTATGACGAACTGCTGTATACTTTAAAACCTGCATTGAAATAACCCACTTTGCTCTACAGGGGCTGCTTAGTGGGGATCGTATTCTTCATCTTGGGCCTGGGAACGCTGTTACCATGGAACTTCTTCATGACTGCATCAATGGTAAAAACATGACAGTTACCCAATCCCTTATAGACAATAGATCTGGATCACAATGGTGGCATGGACAATAAGCTGTTTATAAAATCGAAGAAAATGCCAGTGGAGCAAGTTGTAAACATGACACTGACATATTAATAAAGCTGCTTGCTGATAAAAATGGTTACAACAAATCAAAACAGTTTGTGTTTGGTCTGTAGAAGCAAAACGGTGAGCTAAAAACACCAGACCGTAAGAAAAGCTACCAATTTTCCATTGGTGGTTAATGTGGTATGTTTATATATGCTCACATCTAGTGATGCTGTGTATATATATATGTTCATGTATGGACAGTGATGATCTGATGTCTGTCATGATTCCTCTGGGTTCGCAGTATTTCCAAAGCCGCCTAAACACAACAGAATGGAGCAACGGCACAGCGGTCCACAAAGAGTACTACTTCAACAACTGGATGACTTTGCTGTCCCAGCTGCCTCTGCTGCTGTTCACCCTGCTCAACTCATTCCTCTACCAGAGGTCAGGGGCAGGGTTAGAAGTTAATTCAGTGCTGGTATTGGCCAGTGCAGTGTTGCATGTAGCACTGTGTTGTGCCAGGACATTCCTCTCTGGTGTTTATTTTACTCAGTTGCGGCCTTGGGAAAATCACTAACATGGGTGTTTTTACTGGTTGTGTTTCAGGATATCAGAGGCAATGCGCATCGCAGGTAGCCTTGTTTTTATCCTACTGCTCTTCATCCTCACAGCAGGGCTGGTCAAAGTGTCCATGGAGGCAGACCGCTTCTTTTCTGTTACCATGGCTACAATCTGGTTCATCAACTGTAAGTTGCTGTGACTCTGTGAGTGAAATCCTGAAAGAAGGAGAGTTTCAGAGAATTGTACGGGTGGAATGAAACAACTCTTGCTGTCCCCAGCGTTCGGCGCCGTGCTGCAGGGCAGTCTGTTCGGTCTGGTGGGTCTGCTGCCTCAGAAGTACAGCACCATCTTCATGAGTGGCCAGGGCCTCGCCGGGACCTTTGCTGCCGTTGCCATGCTGCTAGCCTTAGCCAGTGAGCCATCCACATACACACAACACGCCACTGGGTGTCTGATCCCCAGTTGCCTGGTAACCGGGGACATTGAAATTGAATGTAGAGCTAGTCAAATCAGCATGACACTGCACAACACCCGCTGTTCCTTTTCAAAAGACACGGCTCATTTCCTTCCATTTGAGCAGTGTTTTCATTTGTCTGATATTTCTCTCTCCCAGAATTCCTAGCTAACTTGTTTGTTTTTGTGTGTGTGTGTTTGTCACTCAGGTGAAGCAGATCTGGAGTCAGCAGCACTGGGTTACTTCATCACGCCCTGTGTGGGGACACTGGTCACTCTCTTTAGCTACCTGCTCCTGCCCCGCCTGGTCAGTCAGCTCCCAGCTCTGCATGACTACATTACCCACGATCACCCACATTGCTTGCACATTAACAAAACTGGTCAGGAGGAAAGACTGTATTACATGATGCACTCTATTTATTTGCTTTAGTGACATTTTGTGTAATGGGAAAACTTGCCAGCAAATACTGGTATCTGAAGCTAATTATTGATTTTAATGAAGATTAAAAACCAAATACAGGATCCTCTTGGTGGCTTTTACAGCTGCCAAAGTGTAAAACTGCTTAATTTGACTGAATTGAATTGAATTTAAATATGGATCAAACTGGTCAGAATAACATTGCACATACTTTTTTGGAGCCCCACTAGAGTCATGCTGACTGAGCCTGTAGACATGTTAGCCCAGCAGCATAATCCATGTTTTTCTGTATGTATTGATTGATTGATATTTCAGGCCTAACGTGTGATGTCTGGTGTTTCCATGCAGGAGTTTGCTCAGTTTTACCTGAACAAAAGCAACAAGTATGAAGCAGGCACCACAGAAGAGCTGCTGGAAGGTGGGACTGGCTTCACCCAGCTCCTTTTCACTCCCTGTGATTTGATGCCATTTGTCTCCATGTTGGCACTACAGGCACACTGTAATTTCACAATGTTATCTAATTTAGAAGTGAAACGATCATCAAGCATCAGTTTGACAGCGAGTCGCTGTCTGTTTGCTTTTCCACGGAGTTCACGATCCTGTCCTGAGCCGTCTGCTTGGATCAAATCACTTCAGTAGATCATTATCCTGTTGAGACAGTTGACCTTCTGTTTATCCAGCCAGCGTCCCTCCAGGGCCCAAACAAAGACTGAGCCTGTTAGACTCTCACAGACTCCCAGAGTTTTCCATGAATACTAAAAAGCCCAGAGCAGTTTACCTACTCATAATTCACTGAACCAGATGCCATATTTGACATATTTTCCTCACACACATGTTGAACGGAGGGTTTTTAGTTAGTTTTTTCCACATAAATGAAACAGTGGATGTGTATGAACTATAGTTGTAATAGTATAGAAAAGAGAGGCCAAAAACAAATCTTAAATGCTTTTTCCTTGTGTTGTTCTGCTGAAAACATGCTTTTGGCAGTGAAAATTAAGCAAAACAACAAGACTGTGGTTCAGAAATCCAGAACAACAAGCTGAAATGTGCCTATTCATCACTTTCAACCCCATAGTCATTTCATCCACTGTTAATGTGGATTACTTATAAATGATATTAGTGATCATCTACCAGTATTTGTGGTTTATGAGGGCCAGTATAGAAAAGAGAGGCCAAAAACAAATTTTTTCTATAGGAGGGTGACGAATGAACATGCTGTAAGGAGGCTAAAAGAGGATTTTATGGGGCAAAACTGGGAATCAGTTTACAGAGAGGAAGACTTAGATAAAGCATATGAGCAATTTTTAAATATATTTAAGAAAGTATATGACAGGAACTGTCCTCGTAAGCAGTATAAAAACAAAAGGAATTACAGTGGGAAACCGTGGATGAGTAAGGGATTACAGAATGCATGTAAAAAGAAGAATGTGTTATATAAGGAATTCATAAAGGACAGCTCAAAGAAGGCGGAAGAAAAATATAAGTCATATAAGAACAAATTAATTGAGATTTTGAGGAGATCTAAGAAACTATATTACTCTAAAGTATTAGAGGATAATAAAAATAACATGAGAGGTAAGTGGAATATATTAAATAAATTGATTAGAAACAGTTCCAGCAAGAGTAACTACCCTCAATATTTTATGGATAATGATACACCGGTCAATAGATTGGAGGATGTAGTAGATAAGTTTAATAGGTTCTTTGTGAATGTTGGTCCTGGTTTAGCAAGAAGCATTTGTACAGATGATACATCCGTCACTATAAATAATAATACAATCAAAAGGAACATGAGTTCTATGTTTTTGAAGCCCATAGTTGAAAAGGAAATTATAGAGATAGTGAATAAATGTGGTAACAAAACATCTAGTGATAGTGATGGTATCACTATGACAACTGTTAAATGGGTAATTGAGGGGATATGCAAACCATTAACCCATATGTTTAACATGTCG